AGCGGGAGCTGAAGCTGGGAGCCGTCACTGCGCTGGATGCGTGCGACGTGAGCTCCCGCCCGCCTGGCCCCGCCTGGCCCGACTGCCGCTCCCCGACTGCCGCTGCCCGCTTGCTACCTTCTTCCCCTGGCCCTTGGCTCGCCTTGCACGGGTCGCCTTGCACGTCCCCCCAACCCCGCGCCCGCACACACACATCCATGCCTGCCAACCTGCCCCCAACAGCCGCCTTTCCTCCCTGTCCCCACCCGCCCCCCCCCCACGCACACGCAGGTGCGGGAGCGCGACTGGTCCAACGTGATCACCGCCCACGCCGACGACACGCGCGCCTACGTCTGGCGCCTGCAGCGATACACGCTGGGAGAGTGGGTGCTCTTCCCGCCGCCCAAGCAGCTGGCGGGGGCGCCGCAGGCGCTGGCCACCGCGGTGTGCCTCAGGTGCGGGGGCTGGGGGGGCGCCAGGGCGGGGCGGGGTGGCAGGGCTTGGCTGGGCAGGGCCACAGGGCAGGTACCGGTGTGCTCCGAGTGGGTGCCTGCGCGTCCTCTGCAAGTAGTACTCACCTCTGACCTTCCCCTCCCTGCCTCTCCTCCTCCCGCCCGCAGCCGGTGCGGCAACTTTGGGTTTGTGGGCGGCGAGTCGGGGCGCGTGGACCGATACAACATGCAGAGCGGCATGCACCGCGGCAGCTACTGCCGGGACCCAAAGGCAAGCCTGGGGGGTTGGGCGGGTGGCGTCGCCGCCGCTCCCGCCCAGCTAGACCCGCCGCCAGCATCCTGCAGCCTGCGGCTTGGCTGCAGCAGATTCAGCCGACCCACGCCCTGCCTGCTGTGCCTGCCAGCCGACCGGTTCCTCCTGCTGCCACCTCCAACGCTCGCCCCGCCTGTCGTGGCGCCTCGCCGCCAGCGCAGGCGATGGAGCGGGCGATCCGCAAGTCGGGGCCGGGGGTGCCCGCGCCGCAGGAGCTGCTGTGCAGCCCCGGGGTGACGGCGCACGACGGCGCCGTGCGCGGCGTCTGCGCCGGTGCGCCCCCGCCACGCCGCCTGGCACACACAGCATCGCCGAAGGCCGCCGCCGCAGCAGCAGCAGCCTGCGCCTCGCCCTGCGCCCCGTGCTGCAATGGCACACCCCTGTGCCAGTCCGGCCCCGCTGACCTGGCAGACCCCTTCCACCTCTGCGCGGACTGCTGCGCCGCAGATGCCTGCAACCGGCTGGTGGCCAGCGCGGGTCAGGATGGCTTCATCCGCATCTGGGACTTTAGGAAGCGGGGCCTCAAGGCTGAGATCAAGGTGAGGGGCGGGGCGGGGGGAGAGGGTGGAGGGGGGGCGAGGTGGTGGGGGTTGGGGCTTGGTGCAGCTGGGCCTGCTGCCGAACGGCTCCCCAGCGGCGGGTGGGCGGCTTGGGTGGCCGGCGTGCCAGGCACGCAGGCTTGCGGCGGAGCGTGGCAGGCACGCCGAGCCCGCCTGCCCAGCAGTGGTTGACCCCTGTGCCCGCCCGCCTCCTCACCCACCCGCCCGCCTGGCGCGCGCAGGTGGGGGTGCCCATCGCGCGCGTGTGCCACCACGCCGGCACGGGCCTGCTGGCGGCGGCGTGCGAGGACCACGTGATTCGCATGTATGATATGGAGGTGCGCCTGGCCTGGCCTGGGGAGGGTTGCGGCTGGTGGCTGGCTGCTTGGTTGTTGCCTGCTTGGGGTGGTGGCTGCCACTTTCATCCCCTCGCCCGCGGCGCCGTGCCCGCCTGCCTGCCTGCCCGTGCATTGCCCTGCTGGCACGTTCTGCATGCCGCCGCGCCGCCGCCGCCCTCACGCGCCGCCCGTGACGACAGAAACTGGCACCAGTCTGAGCCGCCAAACCACTCATTCCTGGCGGCGCCTGACGATGCAAACTTGTTACACACTCTGAGGCTCGCGCACCCCGCACCGCACCACCTTGCGCTGCTGCACCCGCCTGCCCGCGCCCACCTGCTCGCCTGCCGGGCCAGGCTTCCTGGGTGCCATCCCATGCCTCCCCACCCCACCCCACCCAACACACACCACCCTCACACGTGCTCCCTGCTCCCTGCCTCTGCCCCCTCACGCTCTCCGCAGGCCGCCCGCCTCGTGCGCCAGTTCCGGGGCCACACCGCGGCGGTCAGCGACATGCAGGTGTCCCACGACTGCCGCTGGCTGCTCTCCGCCTCCCTGGACGGAACCGTGCGCTGCTGGGACATCCCAGGTGGGGGCGGCGGCCTGCCCCGGGGGGAGGCTCGGGGCCCCTGCTGCGCCAGCGCCCTGCGCTGCTTGCCCGCTGCGCCTGCTGCGCCTCGCTTTCCTCTTCAAACCCTGCGGGCGATGATGGTTGTCTCGTTCGTCTGAATGCGAGCTCCACCAAAGTTCACAAAGCTTGACGACAATCATCATATCACCACCCATAAACTGAGCCCCAATCGAGCTTGCTGTTCTGTTTGCTGCCGCCGGGTCGCTCCGATGCGCCCATGCATCGCATCTGCCGCACGTCTGCCGCGCCTGCTGCCGCCGCGGGCTTCCCCGGGATCGATGCAATGATTAGACCCGAGCAACATGCAATGCATGCTAGACAAACGATTGCGGCCCCTGCCCTCACAGGCAGGCCCGCATGAGTATGCAAACTCTTGGCTGTGATTCTGAGCACACCCCCGGCCCCTCCCACCCCGCTGCATGCCGCGCCGCCGCCGCCCGCCGCTGCTGCCCTGCCTGCTGCTCCAGATGCAAGCACTCCACCTCGCGGTTGTGCCGTTGCTGCCGTTGCGGCCAACACCCCCCTGCCCCA